CACCTGGACAGGTCTCCAGTCCATCACAGGGACACCTGGACAGGTCTTCAGTCCATCAAATGGACACATCGAGACAAACAACCATTCTCTCTCTCTCACCTACAGACAATTTAGAGTTACCAGTCCAACATGCATGTTTTTGGTCTGTGGGAGGAAACTGGAGTACCTGGAGAAAACCCACGCAGCACGGAGAGAACATGAAAACTCCACCCAGAAAGGCCCCAGACCAGGATTTGAACCAGGGACCTGCTTGCTGAGAGGCAGCAGCTCATCAGCTTTATTTATAGAGCACTTTAAATCCCGACAGGACCAAAGTGCTGTGCTCAGTCAGAACCAGAGTGTGCTCCTCAGAGGAATCATCTGAGGGAGAAGTTGGTTTTTCATTCAACTCACTCAGACTGGGATGAGATGTTAAAATCTAGAAGCTTCATTTGATCATTGAGGTGCTCCTAAAGAAGACTTTAACTCTAACTGGTCGTCCTTCAGACTCACCTCCTGACCACAGCAGGTCTTTGGTTGCATCCACAGATCCGTTGTGTGGTTCTGGTTGGATCTGCAGCAGTTTGCACATCAGAGGGTAGATGTGGATGCTGTCGAACGGCTCAGACACAAAGTTCTTCTTGAAGCTCGGTCCGAAAGCCCTGAAGATGGTCTTCATGTCCATCTCCCCGTTATGGAAGCCATGATCGCCCTTGTTCACATAGACAATGAGCCTCTGTGTAAAGAAAAAAGAGAGAAGTTGAGTTTCAGGTGGAAAACTGAAGATCTACGACCTCTTATGGTGCTCCAGGTTCAAATGCAATGAGGAAAATAAATATAAGGAGCCACTTGAATGTTTAAAATGAACGAAAATAAATCACGTTAAGATAGAAATAGTATCAAATGAAAACTATCCAATTTTAACAATTCATTTAAGGAAATTAGGTCGGTTTGTTCTCTAGTAGTCTAAGTCTATAGCAGCATAACAAGCCGACCCTAACTATAGGATTTATCAAAAAGGAAAGTCTTCAAACTGGACAATGTGTCAGCCTCATGGACAGAAACTGGAAGTTGGTTCCACAAGAGAGGAGCCTGAGAACTGAAAGATCTTCCTCCCATTCTGCTGCTGGAAACTCTAGGAACCACAAGTAAACCTGCAGTCTGAGAGTGAAGTGCTGGAACAATAAGATCTGTAATATCAGATGGAGCTAGGTTGTTGAGAGCTTTGTAGGTTAGAAGTAAGATTTTGAATTCTATTCTGGATTTGACAGGGAGCCAATGGAGAGAAGCTAAAACTGGAGAGAGATGATCTCTCCCAGTAACTCCAGTTAAGACTCTGGCAGCAGCATTTTGGATCAACTGAAGACGTTTTAAAGAAGTATTTGGACACCCAGATAATAAACCATTGCAATAGTCCAGTCTAGACGTGACAAATGCATGGAGCAGTTTTTCTGCACCATCTTTAGATCAGATGTTTCTAACGTTAGTGATATTACGCAGGTGGAAGAAGGAGGTTCTAGTAACGCAAGATCCAGGAAGGAAAGCCAGAATAGAGAACTATAAAATCCTTCTGGTCTTCTAGTGAAACGTTCATCCACAAGGATTTAATCATGTCCTCCTTCACTACAACAGACCGGATCTAGGACCCCCACCCACTTCCCACTCCACACGCATATATATTATGTCAATTTATGTTGCTTTGCTGTGGTAGATTTTTTATTTTTTCTTTATGCCTCACACCGTGCCCTGTCTAGGACACGGTGTGAGAGATCTTTTTTTTTTTATACCTCCTTATGTTGTTTCCCCTTTTTCTTATCCAAGCAATAAGGGCAGCGCTTCTTAGAAGCTGCAGCCCCTGTACACCACACACAGACCCTTTCCAAAAAATTAGATCATCATGGAAAAGTTGTTTAACTTCCATAATTCCATTTAAAAAGTTCATCTTTAATAGATGATAGATTCAGGGCCCACAGTTTAAACTATTTCAAGTATTTGTTTATTTTTTTACATAATTTGATCTTCCAGCTCATGAAACCCACAAAAACAGGATTAAAAAAGTGATAATACTGTGGAGACATCAGTCCAGATGTTGCAGGACATGAATGTTTTAAACTGAGTGTGACATGAATCATCTACTAAACTCAAAGCACCTGCACAGGTTTCCCCAGGTGTCATTAAATTGTCTCAGTTCTGTTCAATATGGTGAAGACTGCAGACAGAACATCTGTCCAGAAGACCATCATTGAGACCCTCCATAGGATGGGTAAGACACAAACGTTCATAGCTAAAGAGGCTGGCTGTTCATAGAGTGCTGTGTCCAAGCACATCAATGGAAAGTCTAGTGGAAGGACAACATGTGTCAGGAGAAGATGCACCAGCAACAGAGATGACCATGGGCTTCAGTGGATCATCAAACAGAGAAGATCCAGAATCTGTCAGAGATCCAGAAAGAGTGGAATGAGGCGGAGTCACAGCTTCAAAAACCACCACATTCAGACTCATCCAGGAGATGGACTACAACTGTCGGGTTCCTCGGTCCTCTTTGCAGATGAAAGTAAAGTGTCTTTCATTCAGAAATCAAGGGTTTGGAGGAAGAAGGGTGAGGAACAGAACCCATACTGGTGGAGGTCCAGTGTGAAATGTCCACAGTCAGTCTTGATCTGGGTGCAGTGTCCGGTGCAGGTGTTGGTAAACTCTGCTTTCTTCAATCCAAGGTCACTGCAACAGTCTACCAGAATGTTTTAGAGGACTTCATGATTCCTTCTGCTGAGGATCTGTATGGAGATGCAGAGTTCATCTTCCAGCAGGATCTGGTCCCTGCCCATGCTGCCAGAAGCACCAGAACCTGGTTTGATGCAACAGTGCCTGACTGGCCAGCCAACTGGTCGGACCTAAACCCCATTGAGAATCTACGGGGTCTTCTCGAGAGGAACATGAGGAGCACCAGAGCAACAACAAAGAAGATCTGACATCATGAAGGAAATCTGGGCTTCCATAACTCCCAGTCTATGCCACAGGCTGATTGTCTCAACGTCACATCGAGGCAGAGATTAAGACAAAGAGATTCACAACCAACTATTGAAGATTGACATATTGATTGGTTTTTGATTTTGTTCTGATCCTAATTTATTTATTTATTTCTGCAAAAACTGAGAAGTGTGGACTGATGTCTTCACAGTATTTTAATTTTTTTTAATCCTGTTTTTGTGGGTTTCATGAGCTGGAAGTTCAAATTATGTAAAAAAATAAATAAATACTTGAAATAGTTTAAATTGTGGGCCCTGAATCTATAATCTATTAAAGATTAACTTTTTGAATGGAATCGTGGAAGTTAAACAACTTTTCCATGATATTCTAATTTTTTGGAAAGAGTCTGTATATTAAATGTTCTATAGCAGCATAACAAGCCAACCCTTTATCAAAAAATAAAGTCTTAATCCCAGTTTTAAAACTGGACAATGTGTCAGCCTCATGGACAGAAACTGGAAGTTGGTTCCACAAGAGAGGAGCCTGAGAACTGAAAGACCTTCCTCCCATTCTGCTTTTGGGTGTCGGTCCAGTCGGGTGTCAGACCAGTGGAGTGTTGGACCTGTGTGTGTGTCCATGTGGGTCGGACAATCAAGACGCTCATTCAACTTTGTTAATCTTTAACCCTAACTGAGTTAGTGATGGAGGCATAAAAACATCTTTGGTTGAATACGATGATGATAACCTGATCCTCCTGCTGCCCTTGGGTCAAACTGGCCCACGAGGCCTCAGTTTGAAGACAGAGTCATTGTGGGTCATTTTGACCCAAGGGCAGCAGGAGGATCAGGGTGAAACTTACAGAATTCAAGTTGAACCCCAGGTCGGCCATGACCACGATGGGAGGCAGACGCTCACTCTTGCCCAAGTGGAAACTCTCAGGAATCTCGTGTTTCTTGTAGACCGTCAGATTTGGTGCGTTGGACAGAGCGTCAACAACCTCCTGCTCCTTACCCGGTCGTGGAGTCAGGATACCAAACCCACCGTAGTCGAGGATCTCAAAGCTGGCAAGTTTGAGGAGGTTTAGATACTTGTTGAGGATGATCTCGTCCACCTGCGGCCTCTTCTTGACCGTGGTCATGCCGTGGTCTGAGGTGATGATGACATTTAGGCTGTCGGCCAGATTGTGACGATCGATGGCCTCTCTCAGGTAACCAATGATGTCATCAATCTGCCGGATGATCTTCTTCCTGTCTGGGTGGTCTGGCCCTTTGGCGTGGCCCACGTTATCGGGTTCACCGAAGTACAGTGTCACCAGGTGGAAATCCTCTTGTGAGAACCAGCTCATCACCATGTCGATGTTCTGACGCCACTCAGTCACGTTGTCATCAGGATGACCGACCTCCGCAACCAGAACTCTGTTGACTGCTTGACCTCTATAAGAGGCTCCGCCCCCCGGGAAGAAAACTGAAGCTGTTTTCAAACCCTGAAAAGAAAAGATGTTAAGCAAAGATCAGTTGAACTCCTCTGTTTGGATTATGATCCAAACTTTTACTCTTTTGACCCTAAACTTTGTAGTTCTGTTGGACATCTGGAGCAACAAGTAAGTGTGCTCTTTAGATCGGTTCTTTCTGACCCGGGAGTCTTTCATTTAGTGAAGCTGAGCAGTGACCCACCTGGTTTTGGGCCGTGATCCATAACGGCAGCACTCCATTGTCCCACCACTCGGATCTCTTCAGGGTCTGTTTGTGAGGAACTTTCAGGTTCGTGGTGGTGTTGAACATCATGTTGTGGACGACTTCATGGTCCTCCACCCATCTGCCTGACGGGGACACAGAACCATTCAACTCTGATCTGTGGACATGTTCCTGAGCCCAGAACAGAACCAGTCCTCCTGGGTCTAACACAGCGAGGTGCAGACCAAGACCAAACCAGGTTTTGATGGAGATTAAAGTCTTTATTCAGGAACTTTATTCTGAAATTGTTTCAGTAGGTTTAGACAGACTGCTGAACCTGTGCCCATCTTTACTTCTAACGTCTCAGACTGACCTTCAGATTATCAGATTATACCATACCATACCAATTTATTTATAAAGCATTATCAGTTCATCAGTTCCTGAATGTTCCTCCTGGTTCTGATCTGGACCTCTGAATGTTGTTGCCCCTGGAGCAACATTTTTATTTTCTCTTTTCATAGAAATGGTTTCATTTCTTTAAACATTTGCTCTGTTTTCAGTGTTCACTCGTAAATAAAATGTGTTTGAGATTTGCTGATTATTATAATCTGAGTTTAATTAGTTTTTTTCAGAGTTGTTGTAATTTAACCATCAGAGTGACCTTAACATCTTTATTTAAAAATGAAACGATGTTCATAAAACAAACAGATAACGAGTGTTCGCTTCAGGTGGTTGTGAGAAACACAGCGCTGCTTTTTGTGTGTGCTTTTGCAGATGATGTGATGTTTTATAACGGATGAAGATGACAAATCTGCTCATGTTTAATCCTCGTTGTCCACCTGTGGTCTCACCAGTGACCAGTGGTGCTGATGGTGGGTCCTAGTTTAGATCGATACCTCTCAGCTCCACACTGAATACACAACTCAATACAACACCTGGAAACACAACTCATCTCAACACCTGGAAACATAACTCAACACCTGGAGACGAAACTCAATTCAACACCTGGAAACACAACTCAACAAAACACCTGGAAACACAACTCAACTCAACACCTGGAAACACAACTCAACAAAACACCTGGAAACAACTCAACACCTGGAAACATAACTCAACACCTGGAGACGAAACTCTATTCAACACCTGGAAACATAACTCAACACAACACCTGGAGACACAACTCAACTCAACACCTGGAAACACAACTCATCTCAACACCTGCTGCTGTGAGTCACCTGTGTGAGTTGTCTCTGCAGACATTTTCTGATCTGAATGAACAGATTTTATATCCGATGAACAGAACCTGAAATACCTGACATGAAGCCCAGACGCTGTCCACCGGCATTATTGTTACAGTTATACTACAGTAGTACTAAAGTTGTACTGCAGTAATACTACAGTAGTTTTAATTTTTTACTGTTGACAACATAGGCGTGTGGTGGGTACCGGTGATGGTGGTGAAGTGGGACGGGGAGGTCATGGTCAGCATCGGGGGGGTGATGTATTTGGCCTTGACCCCGTCCAGAGCCATCTGGTCCAGGTTTGGCGTGTCCACGTCCTGGTCGTAGTCCCACCTGAAGCCGTCGAAGGACACCAGCAGCAGCTTCTTCTTGTCCTCGCTCTTCTTCAGGGGCGTAGAAGTGACACAGAGCCCCGCCATGAGCACGAGGAAGAGCTGCGGCCTCATCTTCATCTTCACGGTGACTGCCTGCCGATCAGCCTGGCCTCACCTGTTCAGGTGAGTCTGGTTAATGTGTGACTGGCTTTGACTGATAAAGACGTGCTGATGAAGGACGAGACCTTCGACTGTGAGCTGATGGACCTCATCAGGACTGAGTTCACTCCTGATAGCAGCTCTGAAGTCTCAGAGGAATAAAACTCACTCAACACCTGATTCTTTAATATTTTATTGTTTGATTTATTTCCCAACTTCAGAGTTCGACTCCTCTGAAGCCTCATCAACAGTCTGACGTCAGAAAATCGTATTAAAAGTTCTTGAGTTTTTTCATTCGTGTTGGTTTTATATTGTTTTAAATCATGTTTCATGAGGAGACTGGATATTTTGAGAAGAACCAATAAATAAAAGTATTGTTATTAAAGTCAATCCTTCGGTTGTTTTCTGGTTTTGTGGTGAAATGATTTTGTCCCAGCTGATTAAACCTGAAGTGAAATAATTGCAGATATAAAAAGTCATTTTTATTAAATGTTTGCGTTTGTTCAGGGTTTTGTCTTCAGATCAGAGCTGATGGATGAAAACGTCACGTTTATTGATCAGGACCAAATCTGCTTGCTTCACTTCTCTCAGCTCTTTTATGGTTTTTACAACAAGCAGTAAATATTGACTGCCGGGAGACATTTGATCACGAGGACAGGTTTTACTGTCCTCTCCTCAGTCCGTTTTGTGTTTGTCAGACAGAAAACGTTCAGAACATTTTATCTGTTTGGATCAAACGTGCTGCGTTCATGACAGTTCAGGAAGTTAATTGTTTTATTTTACGAAGAATTACTTTGGTCTGACACATTCTTCTTCTAGTGTTTCCCTCTTCAGGGTCTCCACAGCAAGTCCTCCTCCATCTCACTCTGTCCTCTGTGTCCTCTGTCCTCACTCCAACTACCTCCATGTCCTCTCTAACTGCATCCATATGTCTCCTCTTTGTCTTTTTCCTGCAGCTGCATTTCTAACATCCTTCTACCAATATACACACTGTCCCTCCTCTGGATGTGTCCAAACCACTGTCCCTCCTCTGGACGTGTCCAAAACACTGTCCCTCCTATGGACGGGTCCAAACCACTGTCCCTCCTCTGGACATGTTCAAACCACTGTCCCTCCTCTGGACATGTCCAAACCACTGTCCCTCCTCTGGACGGGTCCAAACCACTGTCCCTCCTCTGGACATGTCCAAACCACTGTCCCTCCTCTGGACATGTCCAAACCACTGTCCCTCCTCTGGACATGTCCAAACCATCTCAGTGTGTCCTCTCTAACTTTATCTCCCAGTTGTTCAACCTGTGCTGTACCTCTGATGATCTCATTCCTGATCTTCTCAATCCTTATCGCTCCTAAGAAGAACCTGATCATCTTCATTTCTGCTAATTGCAGTCCTGTCTCCTGTCTTTTTTCCATGTCTCTGTCTCCAGACCAGACAACATAGCTGGTCTTGTAAACGTTTCCTTTGAACTTTGCTGACACCCTTTTGTCACAAATCACTCCTGAAACTTTTCTCCATCACTCCATCATGCCTGGACTCTCTTCTTCACCTCTTCACCACACTCCCCATGTTTCTGGACAGTGGACCCCAAGTCCTTGAAGTCCTGCACCTTTGTGACCTCTGCTCCTTGTAGCCTCACTGTTCCACCTCCTCCCTCTCATTCACACACATGGACTCTGTCTTACTACGGCTGACTTTCATTCCTCTTCTTTCAAGTGCATACCTCCACCTCTCCAAGTTCTCTTCCACCTTTTTCCTGTTCTCACCACAGAACACAACATCATCTGCAAACATTATAGTCCATGGGGATTCTTGCCTGACCTCATCTGTTAGTTGGCCCATCACCAGAGCAAACAAGAAGGGGCTCAGAGCTGATCCTTGATGCACTCCCACCTCCACCTTGAAGCTATCTGTCACTCCTACAGAACATCTCACCACTGTCCTGCTGTCCTCAGACATGTCCTGCTGTCCTCATACATGTCCTGTACCAGTCTAACATATTTATCTGCCACTCCAGATTTCCTCATGCAATATCACACCACCTCCCTCGGCACCGTTTTGTCCTCTTTAGTGTCCAGTCTCCCATACAACTCATCATACACCTTCTGCTTTGCCTTAGCTACCTCCCTCTTTGCTCTACGTCCCATCTCCTTATATTCTTGTCTCCTCTCTTCAGTCCTCTCTCTGTCATATTTCTTCTTGGCTAACCTCTTTCTTTGAACATCTTCCTGCACTTCACTATTCCACCACCAGGTTTCCTTATCATCCATTCTCTGTCCAGATGACGCACCAAGTACCTTCCTACCTGTCTCTCTAATTACTGTTGCTGTAGTAGTCCAGTCATCTGGAAGCTCTTTCTTACCACCCAGAGCCTTTAACAGCTCCTCTCTGAATTTCTCACAACATTCTTCCTTCTTCATCTTCCACCATTTGGTCTTCTTCTCTGATTTTTCTCTTCTTCACAACAACAGTCATTCTACACACAACCATCCGATGCTGTCTGGCCACGCTCTCCCCTGCCACAACCTTACAGTCTCCAATCTCCCTCAGGTTTCCTCTTCTACACAGAATGTAGTCGACCTGCGTACTCCTTCCTCCACTCTTTTAGGTCGCTCTATGCTCCTCCCTCTTTTGGAAACAGGTGTTGACTACAGCCATTTCCATTCTCTTGGTAAAATCCACCACCATCTGTCCTTCCTGGTTTCTTTCCTTGACACCAAACCTACCCATCACTTCCTCATCCTCTGTTTCCTTCACCAACATGTCCATTCAGGTCTGCTCCCATCACCACTCTCTCCTCCCTGGGAATACTCTCCATCACTTCATCCAGATCTTTCCAAAATGTATCTTTCTCCTCCACATCACATCCAACCCGTGGAACTTAACCACTGATAACATGTAGCATTCAGGTCTCTCTTGTAAAAGAGTCCCCAAGGCTCAATGGGAATAATCTGTTTAAATAAAGGTTGAATGAATGAAAAAGCATCTGACCCTCTACTTCTACCTTCACCTTTTCACCTCTACTACATTCTTTGCCAACTCCTCCTTCAGGACCACCTGTAACATGGTGGTGGTGTGTATGAGGAGAGCTAGCTTAGCATTAGCAACATGTGCTTCGGTGTAGCTTGGCGTTGCGTCGGGACGAGGGCTGACTGCGGGTCACCCAGAGGCCTCCTCTCGGACCCAGGACTCGCCTCCAGCCCACGTCTTTTCCCCTGGCTCGAAACTCCCTCAGAAGTGGTAAACCACAATATCAATAAAGCAAGGAAACGTCAATTAAGCTTTATCAATTATATTAAATCAAGGCAGGAAAAGGTTACAGTTTACAGCACTGGTCTCTCTGGTCTGTGACGCGTTCACAAACCTGGAAGAGCCCCAATGTCCCATGCCATTACTCATTTATAGGGTCCTGGACTCCTCCTTCACAGAAGGGGGGCTCAATCTGTCAGTGTATGAGGGTGTGTGACCAAGTGTGATCTCAACGGATCTTATGTGGTTCTGACGTGAAAGGAAATATGAGACGGTGCTTCAAAAGCCTTTCTACGTGATGTAGCAAGCAGAAATAAACTCTATTCCTTGACTGATATTGAATCCCAGGCAGACTCTTTTAGAGTTGCTGACCCAGTTTAACCCAGTCAGAACCGGGTCATAATTTCATTATAATCCCGTCTCTGAGCAGATCAAAAACCCCAGGACCAGTCTAGATAAAAATATCTAACATTGGAAAAGAGCAACAGAACGTTGATTCCCACTTGCACTTTATTACATATCTTAGAAAACCATACAGTGCCAGGTCTCCACGGTGCTACTCATACATGAATATATATCGAGTATAGTCCGTATATCCTTCACCACTTGTTACTGAGGTTGAGCGGAGCAGCTAAATGTGTACACAGTGTACAGCTCCCAGCTACACTACTGACTTCTATAATGAGTTATGACATATCAAATGAAGGAGACGCCCACGTGTGGCGTTCAAAAGGTACTACAACAGTAACATACATACTGACTGTTACACACCCCTACTCCATTTCTCTTTCTATCCACACCATGGTAAAACAGTATGAACCCTGCTCCAATGCTGCGAGCCTTGCTGCCCTTCCACTTGGTCTCTTGGACATATAAAACATCTACCTTCCTTCTCAGCATCATGTCAGCCAGCTCTCTACCTTTGCCTGTCATTGTCTCCACATTTAGAGTTGCAACCCTCAGTCCTACATTCTTGACTTTCCTCTTCTCCCTCTGTCCCCCGACATGTTTCCCTCCGCGTGGTCTTCCACTAACAGTAGCACAATTTCTGCCGGCGTCCTGTTTGTTGACAGCACCGGTGGTGGTCGTTGTTAACCCGGGCCTCGACCAATCCGGTATGGTGTGGCTTAGATGAACTCGCATTATAGTTTTGGTCAAAGTGTTTTACATCAGATGTCTTTCCTGACACAACCCTCACCAGAATAATCACTGTGAAAAATCACATCATGCTGCTGCTGATCTGTTTTATGTTGCTGCTAATCTGTTTCATCATGTTGCTGCTGATCTGTTTCATGTTGCTGCTGATCTGTTTCATCATGTTCCTGCTGATC